AATTTGCAGTGGTTTAAACCTTTTTTTCGTGGAAACAGAAATTGTGTTTAGTACTTAAAGAGAGTTTATAAATAAACTTGCTTGTAAGGCTCAGGTTAGCTCGTTAAGAAGAAAGGAAAATACACGTGCAGCTAAAGTAGATCTATGCTATAACTATTTATTGTCCTATTTTTTTCTTTCATGATGTTATTCTATTGTATTAGTGAAAAACTCTTCGATAAAGATGACATAGCTCGAGTGCACAGATAGCAGAGCTTGTACATCGTCCGGTCGTCGAAGCACTGTCAGTTGCTGTCTCGTGCTCTATCATTGACGTCGTTGGCTGAAGCTTCAACAAATACATCAACGCTTATAAGGCACAATTCATTGAAGGTAATATATTGGTTATTGGATATTTGGCCATAAAATGAGCTATCCTTGCCCCTCGGTACAGGTCAATAAAGATATGAATAAAAACTTACAAGAATAAGTGCATGATAGACTTTATATAAATAAATTATATTATTAGTAGCTATTTTAAAATGGAGTTTTACATTTTTTTGCAGATGCACAAAATTTATTTCTTTGCAACATTTATACGCTAAAATGTTCAACAAATTAACAGGGCAGGAATGCTTCAATTTATTTCTTTACCTTGATATTAACCACATTTAGTCACTACTACTTCATTACTACTATGTGTATTAATTATTTTCATTATAAATTTACATAAATTTTCAAATAGATTCCTGATTTATTTTGACTACATTCAATTCGAATATGACGCATGAATGCCCCAATTTGACGCATGAATGCCCCCACTTGAATATTTTGTAATTCATTCATTTATCTCACAGACAATAACGCTCATCAAAGTTCAACCATATAACAACTCCAGAGTTTTTCGCATTTCGCTGCCTTGCCTACTCGCCAATATATCTCCCACAAAATTGCAACAGAAATAAATGATAAAACGAAGATTTTTCGTTTCTAAACAAATTTAATAACAGCAGCTCGAGTCTGCATGATGCGTTGACAACTTTGTTCAGCAAAAATATCTCTTTTGCTTACAATATGGACAATGATTTTTCTACATATTCATTTTGGAAAAGATGGTATACCGCATTTCATTTACTCAAACTGTTTTATTACTTCGCTTGAAAATTATAAGCGAATAATTTCACATCGTTTTCCCGTTTCGTAGCATTCAAATATCGATTTCAGGAAAAATTCTTATTCGAGGTCGAAATTAGGATAACTTCATATCTCCCGTATATAAATATCTGCATCATAGATTTGTTGACTGAATCATGCATAATAATAGAAACAAAACACTCAAGTTCTGAGTTCATAATGCAAGGTTCATGCAATCGTTCTAGTACTGATTGCGCATGGGTCACTTGTGCAAATAGAACACGGCAACACGGATAACATCAGAGATAACAAAATTCAACTCGCACGTGGCTGGCGTTGAAGCTTTGCGAACATATGATAACTATTACGAACATATGATTATATAAAATATATAAAATAAATATATTATGTATGATTATATAAAATACATAAAATATATTTACGAACATATGATTATATAAAAACCATATAACATTAATGCACGCGCGAGTATCACACATATAAAAAAACTGGTTATTATTCATTGTTACCAATGAAATAACTTTGTAAAGTCATTGCACAAGTTTTGTTGTAAAGTAAAATTTGAGTCTCTATCTATCTACAAACTTCAACTAACACAAGTGCACTCTCATAGCAAAGATATTTCATGCCTTTATACGAACGCTGTTTTGATGATTACTTTGCTATAAGATGTCTAAGAATGTAATAATTCGTTAACGGTTGCCTTATACTGATTTGCTGTTTTCATTTTCCGTACACGGTGTTGGAAATTTTTTGTTTCATTCTTCACTTTAATTTCATTGTCATAAAAATAAAATTTTAGACAACTTGAAGTTAAAAAATAAAATTCTAGACAACCTATCTTTGTACGCGATAGATAATCCCTATTCTTGATAATCCCATTTACCTCAATGCCTGATTACTCTTGGATTACCCTTAACTACCCTGAGAATATTTCTTTTACTTCCGTTCCCGGTTCTTCCAATCTAATTAGAACTAATTCCAATGATAATAATCAACGAAGATAATTGTAAACAAATCAAAACTCAGTAAAAGCTCCCACTTAGAATGAATTTCTTTCTACCTAACTTCCGTTTTGAAGCTTTAAGGCAATTTTTTCTTTTATGGTCCATGATTTCCCTAACAAAATACAAATCGAATAAAATTTCCACAAATAATATTTAGCTTCTATACAAAATTTAATTTAAAAATCGTAAAAAAATAAATTTCCTTCTAAATTTGGAACTGGATTTAAAATAGAATTTTAAATGCAGTTGGAATAATAATTTGAATTTTTGAAATTGAAAAGGAAATTGTATTATTTTGTTACATGTGTGTTCGAACGGATCTTTCTCATATTATTATTTTAGTTCGAAAATTAGCAAATATGTATCTGAATATGGGATTGCAAATGAAAGTTTTGCTCTAACGGAATTCCCCAAGATTGAGAATTTTTTTCGAGGGCAATTCCGGGGTCAAGCTGGCACTAAAGACACTAAAAAGATATTTGACACTAAAAAGATGTTCATTAAAATTAGTCATGTTCTATACTTCAAATGACGAAATCTCTTGTTTTCTTTTCTTTTCAAATTTACCTGTATTTAATATTGTAATTACATTGAAATACATTGTCGAGCAGAATCGATTGGAAAAGCGCAGGCAGCATCAAGTTCAGGATGATGTGGCACACCACGCTGGGCTCTATTCTGCTGCTGGCAGCCACATGTATTATGGCTGGAAGAGCTGGTGAGTGATGGGTACCTAGAATGCTAGTAGTAAGAACTGGAATGCTTTCTGTTATGCAACTGCAGGAGTAAATTGTGCGTTATCAGGCTGCATGCATGGCTCTGAGACTGTTGTAGATGATGTAGAGGTGCTGTTAATGCGGCTGCCGGGTATTAAAATTATACAATGTATGATTTGCAGGCGCTAGAGATGAGTAGTGCGGTGTGTCTTGCTGCTGCTGTTACTTGGGGGTAGCTTTCTTATTACATAGTTAGTTACTGGTGCACTTGTGCCATCAGAATTTGAGTGAAGATAATGAGTGGTGTCGTGTACTCAGTACTATTGCTGCAGCCGATGGTGAGTGGTGTCGTGTGCTCAGTGCTGTTGTTGCAGCCGATGGTGAATGGTGTAGTGTGCTCAGTGCTGTTGTTGCAGCCGACGGTGAATGCATGGTGTCGTGTGCTCAGTGCTGTTGTTGCAGCCGACGGTGAATGGTTACGTGTGCTCAGTGCTGTTGTTGCAGCCGATGGTGAATGGTGTCGTGTGCTCAGTGCTGTTGTTGCAGCCGATGGTGAATGGTGTCGTGTCCTCAGTGCTGTTGTTGCAGCCGATGGTGAATGGTGTCGTATGCTCAGTGCTGTTGTTGCAGCTCTAAGGTGAGTGCATGGTGTGGCACGTCGAGTGCTGTTGCTGCAGTAGATGGTGAGTGGTGCGGTTAGTTTAAGGGAGTGACGTTGATTGTACAGATGTGATACCTTGAGTGCTGATTTCTATTATTGAGAGTTATGCATTTTATTTATTAAGTAATAACGTTCAAGTATTTATTATAATGCCCTCAAATAACAGTGCAACGCTCGGTACATTCAATCCTTTTGTACCTTTCATTGGAATTAATGGTGGCGTTGTCCGATTATCTTCGTTACCAGGAAACTTTTCAAATAAGACCAAGAATTTATGTCATTGAGTATATTAGAAGTTTGGCATTTGAAAATTAGAATGGGTTACACCATTCAAGAAAAAAAAAATAAAAATTTGTTTATCAATGAAAAGGAAAATCTTATTCAAAACCAGCATCAAGTTTAATAGTGCGTTAACAATTAAATAGTGAAAACATTTACCCTGATTCTCCGCATTTTGAAGTGTAGCTCACAATGTCGTACACAGTCACCGTTGAGAATTTTGTCATCACGAAGATGGATTGGACATACGATGGAACGACAACCACGAGTGTAGTGTGTAGAGAGAAAGATTTTCTGGACGTGGAGAGCTTCATTCTTGAGGTATCACCAACACCGTCAGGTGATCAAATATGTAAGTAGCCAGTGCATTCATTCTAATTTCCAGTGTAGGATTTGGGATTATGCGATTGAGATGCTACTGTAGGGGCGTTCAGAGTGCCCAAAAATAAAATTAGATATGAGAAGAGTGCTTGAAACAAACTGAAACACGTATCGAAACATATGAGAGTGATGGTAAAAAAATGCATGAACACTTAACATTGGCATTTATTATCTTGCCCTAATTATTGGGTACTGAAATAATATGCATTGCGTAAATTATCGGTCATTGCATTTATTACCGTCAATCTTAAGATTGATAAAGAACTTTACTTAAATGCCTATACTATCATTGCCGTCAATTTATATTACATATACGCATATTAAGCTGCATTGCAGTTCATTTAGAAATAGCAGTTATCAAAACCACTTGTGAAGCTAATAAAGAAATTTCAAAATTCATTGGAACATTAATGAATTCAAATTGTGGCCAATCAGAGGCTTAAATCTGGTTACGAATTCCAACTACACAAATATTTATCTGTTCAATTAACTTTCAACAGTGTCATGAAATCCAGGTTTTCAGTTTACAGTGTATAGCTCTCAAATGATGATAAGAATGTAAACAAATTAAAAAAACATTTTTTTGTATCAAATAATAAAGTTTTCCTCAATCGGCTTAGCAAAACCATTATTGAGTTAAGTTAAGACTTAGTTGATTGATTTATTTGATCCTTACTATAAGTTTGCCTTCGTACTAAGGCTGATTGTCGTTTCTTCAGCATACCCTGGTACGGTGGACACTGATACAAAGTGTGCAGTATTTACCTGGACTGAGGATTTCCTGCCTTCCTCGACTGTAAGAACATATAAGCTCTTTTTTGTGACGAATACCGGAGCGACAGAGAGAGGAGTAGTAACTTATTCGATGACCTGTAAGTTATTGAAATTTGAAACATGTCAACACATAATATGCACTGCGAGTAAAGAAACTTTTCTTAGTTGAGGAGGCGCTTATTTTTATAGTTTTTCATTCGTGCATGTACTAGATTGTAATTTTATTAAAAGTTAGCTTAAACTATTGCTCATATTTTATATTTTCCTGAAACCTCAAGTCATCTTCATATTTCCACTTTATTTAATACTAATTTCAGACACCGTCTCTCAACTGAGCTGCTATGGAATCGAGTACGTGCGACTCAGTTTGGATACTGGTCATCTGACGGTTGTCACCTGCCCCGCCTCAAGCCCTTCTAACGACCCGACGTCGCCCTCCATTTGTTATGCGCCAAAAGATACAGACACTGTGTGTGCAGATCAACTGGACACTAACTCACTCAATACTATTGTCTGCGTGCCAATACCGACACCGGTCACTGTTGCTCAACCGACAACAGGTATGTTCAATCATAATCTCGTTGTCAAATGTAAGAAAATTTCATAATGCATTACAAAATTAAAATTACCTTGAAAAGCGGTTGCTTATCGCAGCCAAAGTGATGCTCAGATCAATGAAAGAAGGTAAGTTCTTATACCTACATATCTTCATGTATATTCAAGATAAATGAAGTTAATTCAGGTTATAAATGCCGTATTAATTCAATCAACGCCAAAGCTTGCGAGAACTAATAACGGCATTTAATGTAATCTAACTATTTAATGAAGCAAGTAATTATTTTGCTGGCTCCTGACGGTAATTAATGTCTCCACATTAGTGATCAGAAATAGACGGTTGGATTGAAAAACAAAATTAAAAAGCAGCATTAAATGCACTGATTCTAATTTTCCTATTATTAATCATATCTCATCACCCTCGGCACGAGCAAAGGACAGCAGTAACGGTGGAATCATCTTACTCAATCTGGTGAACATTACATACTCCGTCAGTGTTTTTCTATAGATCACTTTGATGTATGGTAAAGTGAGTCTTTAGTTAACTTCGCGGCCGGAGCGTACGTGTACTTTCCACTCATACGCCACTTAATTAATAACCGACTTAACTCATAAATGTCACATTCACAACATCAACCTCGAAAAGATTACTCTTCATGGAAGATATTCGTTATCATCAGAAATCGATGGCAAGTCAACTAATTTTGAATAAATTATTCCTCTGCGAAATAAGTAAAGCAGTCGCTTATGTGTTCAAATTTAATGCTTGCATTGTCTCTTTCCATTCGCTGTCATTGATGGGCAGTCAGTATCGTTCAACAGTGGCTTAAAAATTTCAGAATCATTCAATAATGACTAAAATAAAATTTCCATTTCTATAGTATGAAAGGCATTAATTATATCCGTAGAAACATTTCTCTGTTAGTGTGTACCATTAGAAGAGTGTTTAGAGATTAGAGTGTTGAGATTCATCGCCTCTGTACACTGCTTGCACTTGCAGCGATATAATTAAAATTACTCCATTATACGTATGAGAAAATTTTGCTTTGATGCAACATTTTATGCACAGCTTCCTATTGGTTGTGTTTTCTTCTGCCTATCTCTCGTACCTACTCCTACTATTTTTTGATTATCTATGGCATGGTTTTAGCCGAGCGTCTAACATTTTGAGTTTCACTTAAATCCTTCACTGTAATTAGTCCGAACTATGAAACTATTCCCGTTTCCATTCCTACTTCCCCTGCGTACACTTCGTAACATACCTTGTTACGTAGTGCAGCATAAATATATATAAATATAATATAAATAACTAAATATATATATTTATAATTATATAAATAAATATAATATAAAATATAAATATATGTAACATTATATCTAGAATACCTTGCTAGTTACCATCTCACGATACGTAAGTAGGAAGTTACGTCGACTAAACTGTTTTTCATGGGTCTGAAACTATCACGGGCCTTTGGCGCAATTTCAGAATTAAATCCTTTCATGTTAATTTTATTTCTTCGAAAATAACCATATTTTGTATAAATTCCAACTAGCTTCTGTAGTAAACCTGATCATACAACGCAATAAAGTAAACAATAAAGGAAAACGAGTAACTAAGTAACTTACTAATTAGCTTTGCATCCTTACTATACCATGTTAAAATTAACGGGGTTATGACAAATGATCTAGTGTCAATTTAAACCCAACCACGAAACGCCAATTGACTGTAGAATTCTAATTATTTCATGAATTCTTTCGCCAATCGAATTCTAAATTTTCGTTTCCACAAATCTATCCTTCTGTCATGATGTATTAAAAATTAGAACCCCGAGCTCAAGAACACAAGCAGACAATTGGCAGCTTGTGGAAACTATTACCTAAGTCGAGAATTTTTTCCACTGTTAAAACTATCAGAAGTTCAATTGAGTTTTTTTTTAAAACCATAGTTTGATAATGGAATTGGGATGAGAGTTGCCCGCCAGTCAGCCCTCTTTTAATATATTAATAAATTATATATTAATAAGCTTGCCAACCGGCAGCCATTTATTGAAAAAAATCGCTTCTCCTTATTGGAAATCTAATTATTTTTAATTAAAAAGACGTTCACTGCGATAACATAAATCCAAATAAAAAATGGACCTACATCCTAAAAACGGGAGCAAAAGTACAGACACTCGGGATAATTAATATATATTGTCATCTTGTTTTCCTTTTACACCTTTGTTCTCAACATCTTAATCCATTCTAAGCCTTCACGCATTCGCCACATATCTCTTAACACTTTCAAACAGAGCCACAGTTGCCACTCAGACAAATCCACAATGGTTCAAAATCTACTGCTCACTTGTTCTCTAGCACCCCAATCTATTACTCTGCCTCCCCTCCTCCCACAGAATCACTGTTTCTCACACGCCTCACATTCCACCATAAGGTGCCTCATAGTCTGTTCCTCATCCCAATTGCAAATGAAACATCATCTCCTATGTCATTCCTTCTGTACGTACGTACGTTCAAATAGCAACCCCTGCTATTTGTGGCACATTGTTCTCATTGAAATAAACGGCGTAGTATGAAGTTTGCAAAAGCAAATAATACAGTATGTACTATGTAGGGACAGTAGAGCTAGAGGTCATTTCAACTTCATTGTACATTGCGTTGAATTACAGCGAGTGGTGTTAGTATAGTTCTTATGCATAATACTGTAGAATGAATGTTGTTACTTTAGAAGAGAATGATTTTGAAAGCTTACGCATCCCGAGTCCAAATAATATATTCTAATTTTCAGGGAAGCTTGGATCCTTAGATCTGATGGCCCAGAGCAGCTTGCTGTATTGGACATTCATACTCGCTTGAAGAATTGGTAATGATGTTCCAGTTGCGTTTCTTGCTGGGTTCAGAGCATCGTGACTCTTATCCGCAAAACGTAACCATTCGTACAGTTGACGATTCATATAGTGCAGAAATAGCTGGTTACCAGCTGCCTCGCGGTTGCTGTCAAGAAACCAAATGAAAGACCAAATTTGCTGGCAATGTTACGGGAGAGCGGGTAACTACTAATAATTACGACAGAGCTGCCTAAGCGCTCATTGTCCCCGGGCAGGAGACGCTACTGGTACGAGGGAGGACGCATACAATAAAACCTACTAAGGCACAAGAATAAAATTCAACCCGAATTTTTATTCAATTTAGACCAGAAACAGACAAATATAAATACCAGCTACCTACTTCTTTGGCTCCTTGAAGCTAAAAAACATTTATTCAAATAGTCGACCCGCGACATTTCTAAAACCTGTTGACCTTTACACAAAACGGAACACGAGACGCGCCAACTTCACGAGAGCCGCGTATCTCTTTCAGGGGAAGCCCTAATACATTAACGGGCGACCCCAAGCGGCACAGACTTCGGGCATGGAACACGATGGTTAGACTAGTTAAACTCTTCATTAGGCGCTCCAATAGGGTGCGACGATAGACGCCCAACGCGGCTCGGCTACGCAGAGCACACGGGAAACCAAGGGGTAGACAGGTCAAGTCGGCTCCCACGTCAGGTAAACACTGGAGGCAGTCGGCTTCTTCCAACGGTGCACGTTCACGGTACACACCTTTGAACAATCGCCTGAGAGGATCTCAGAAGCTGACGCCACACCAGAAAAGGTCCCTCCCACCTGGGAAGCAGAATATCCCGTTAAATTTCCCAGGCAAAAATAGGAAAGAACCCCACTTCACAGTCCAATAAACTTCATATAAATTCTGAACCGGCAATATTAACAGCGTCTGTGTAAGACTCCTACACATAAGCCGAGCCTAACCGGCAATCACAACAGGACACTAACACCTCCTCACCTCATCCACGGAAGCCAACGAACCAAATGGCCAGCCTAAAAGCGCTCAGCCCGCTCGTGACCTCGCGGCAGATTCGTTCAGAGAACACCTGCGTGTCAAACCTCTACAGCAAGTCGGTACTGTTGAGCTCGGTCTCTTGCCGAGTTATTATTCCTCCAATTGATATAAGATGAGCAAGCGGTCGAGCTTGAAATATGAAACTTTCCGCTTCTTTGATAGCGACTTCGGTGCAGTGCGCGACTTAGGACAAAAAAGATCTGTGGAAGTTCTCGCCTATCAAGACTATGACGGAAGGAGACTCTGAATTAGTAGGTAACGCACCTCGAAGATGCATATCGGCTGCATTATAATGGGAAATCTGCTCGGAGGAGCCGCTAACTTCTTGATAAATTTTCAGAGGAAAATATAGAGGTGATATTCGGCAGTATCACCGTATCGATCGTGAGCGGGGCTTCAATCTGAACCATGGTCATTGGGCGATAGCCAAGACTGAAATTCGCGTTTGAACTGGAAATGTATATTGTTAAAATTCTTTATTCTATAAATTACCAGTCAATTGAACTTTATCTTTCGTTTGATGGTTCCATTATGTGGGTTCATATTGCGAATTTTAGTCCCAGCACCCTAAAAGATCACCTAAAAAACATTAGTCTCTCATGCAATAATATATACTCAGCACTCGTAACGCCATTATAAACTGTTCAGTGTGAACCTCTTATGGTAAGGGCCGCCGGCAGAAGCCAGAAGGTATATATAAATGCAACGCAGCGCTCCCCGCTACAACACGCGCGTCTCGCCATGACCTCATGCCAGCATCTGAGGTCAGGCTGCCTCATGTACCTGAGACCTCATGCAGTGTGTATGGGGCAGCCAGCTTGCCGCTTATTTCGGGTATCTGCCGACTGTTATATTTTTTAGCCAAGAAAAACACCAAAATGACTTTTATTTAGCTGCTGTTTTGTTAGGAAGCTGCTACACACCTTATTTAATACCAAGCAGGCTGTGGCAAGCTACCTCAGCTCGAAAAAAGACACGCAAATGGAACGCAACATGTTATACGGAGGAAATTCATATTTCCTTCGTTCCCACGGAATCGTAATTGTTCTATTTCGCTCGAAAATGGGTTCATTTGATACGATTCTATTCAGACTGATCAAATGTTTGCTATCTCATGGTCCCTATTTTATAACTATTTTTACCTGCCCTTGTTTCATGATATTCTCGCTTGTACCTAGATATCTATACAATCATGTTTGCATCACAAGCAACAATTAATCCCATAACATCATATTTGCTTTATACTTACCTGGTATATTCAATGCCTCCATTTACAAAATGCATGCAATGCATTTGTTCCTATCGCAATAGTCTTACTCCTAATTCTGAGTATGAACCTATCTAATTATATGTACAGTGAAACCTTGAATGGTTACATCTGCATTTGAAGAATAAAAGGAAGTGTAATTAAATAAAATAACCGACTTCCTCCTGATGATTAATCCTAATGTAATTCATGCAATTACGTGCAATACTAAATAGATAATTCAACGTTCGATGACAATAACTCAAGTAGCATAAAATGAATATGACGGTATTAAAATAAACAGTGAGGCATGGGTGCAGATATCAAGTCCTTGGGCAAGGGATGACGGGAGAATGCGTGATTTCATAAATACTGAAAATTTTTAAGATTACGTGGAGAATACTTTAAAATTTCTTCAAATTCTGGGTAGAATTGGAAAAGTGATTATAATGATCTTGATATAGCTACTTATTTCCTTAGACCGGATGGATATCTTTCTTTCCTGCTCATTGCCCAAGTCATTTATTCTCCTGCATTTCTTCCATTCTAAATGGCCACGAAATCAAGAAAATTTTTGATGAAACAGGAAAATAGTACCTAATATTGCGTTTTTTCTATTAATTTACAACGTAATAAATGACTCAGAAGTAACCAGATTTGTTTCAACAGGTACAGTAAAAGCTCTAAGCTACACAAACAAACGGCTAACGGCCACCGATGATACAGTCTCTGAGATGCTGATACGCAAACATGCAGCTACTCCTACTGATTTCACTTTGGAATTCTGTATGAATGCAGTGTGCCCCGTGCCTGACTCATTCACTGTGGGTGTAGATAAATATGAACTTTGCTTCGTCAACTCTGACGGAAACGGCATCACTGGAGTAGCAGAAGATGAATTTCAAGGTAAGAACACAAGATAAGAAAATGAGATCATTTTGAACAAACAGGTCGAAGCACGCTCAAAGAACTCGTCTAATAACGTTTTTGATTACGTTGAACGTCATGTTCAATTTATAAGAATTTCTTATTGATCAATAATAGTGATCAGTAGCATTATTATTGATCAATAATAATATCAATAACGAAGATCAATTTTGTAATGAAATGAAAGGAATTTTTAACGTATGTAGTCTGGATAAGGCACAGTTTCATTCTGATAATAATAAAAACAATGGTACATACCTCATGAAAACAAGGCACTAAAATTAACTAAGATATGAATCAATACCTAACCCATCAGATGTTTGCCAGATGAATCTCTGTTCAAGCATTAAAATAACTTATTGATGATCCTGTTACTCACGTGCTCCGCCTTCTCTGTGTAGATTTGTCACTTTCGGTCCTGGCCTCCGCCACTTCCGTCGATTTGCTCTTCGTTAACTTTGGCCCAGAAAGGAAGTACTTGATATACTCAACCGACATGCCAGACGCCGTAGATATCACAAACCAAACTCCCATCATTTTGGATTGCTCCAACCTCCCTGCGGATACTTATTGCTATGGATTTTACGAGCCAGCGAATGGGATGCCAATGCCTAAGTTCATGGCCATCTCATACACCGATGGAAGCAATACGATAATTTCTCTAGATGCGACGGCTACAGCACAGGTGGAGCAGAAATCATAGTCTGATGCCGTAAATATGAAGACAATATTAATGAAAAGATTGAAAGTGTAGGTGAAGTTAATTTCGGGGAAACAGTCCAAAAGGAGGTAAAAATTAGTATGATATTAGTAAAAAGATCTAGCTTTCACTTTTTAAAACCATAATGCACTCCTGAATTCATAGCTCAAATATACAAGCAAATTTCCAGTCTTCCCATCTATTATTCACTCTAAACTTCCACTTTCTTGCATGAAATTTAATCCATTTTATTTTCAATCAGTTGTAAATAACCAGACTTGAATACCAATGAGTTATAAAACACAAGTATCAATAAATTCAAACTGTGCTAAGTGTGCTGGTCTTAAAAAAACTATAATTAATCCCGTCGTTTCCATTTCTTTAACTGATTCTTACTTTGCATGTTGAGGAGTAAAAAATCCATTGAATGTTCGTGTTTTTCCTGTTAAGGAAATTCTGCTTAAAAACCCAATAAGTTGTTTTGGCTGCACGGACATACAGTCACGGTCACGGCAATCAAGGTGACTACCGCAGGTTATGGTTATGGTTAACTGGTTATGACTGCTCCAGCGCTCGCACCTGCGCAGCATCAGTGGTAGCACACGTAGTCAATGTAGCGTCACTTCATGCGTCACTAATTTTTGTACCTCGATTTTCCTTGTCATATTTTTCGATCATTCAAACAGTTATTTATTATATTTATTCTGTTAAATTTGTACTCATTTTTTTTGTTAGTACTTTATCTTTCTGTTTTACTAGCATTTTCATCTAAAGAAACATCCTGCTGTTCGGGACAATTCGATTTCTAATTCGCGTCACTTTCTAATCTCTCAGTCGTGAAGCACCTTACGCTTCACTAGTCGTGTTACTTATATGACTGGTGTTCTTTATGATATTCATACATTATTGGGAGATTTGTGAATTGTAATTATTTTTGTTAGGTATAACTAGGATTAAGTAGTATTGCCGAATCTTGTTAAGTTTATTATATTTGCTTACAGAATATTATTAGTTTACTAATACGAATTCGCTGGGTTCGTTTTTTTTTGTTCTTGCTTCTATATTTACTCAGAATCATCAGTATCCATCAGTGCCTTCGTAATCAATAAAGTGTCAAAAATAAGAAGTTCACTTCCCTGCACTGTTAAAGTTCTGTTGTCTGGCTGGCGCTAAAGTAAGAGCGTTCGGACGCCACCGTCGCGCTTATTGCGAGACAGGCATCTCCAAATTACCGCAACATTTACGCCGTATTTCTCGACCCTAGCAGCGCCTGTACCAGACTGCCCTGGCTCGATATGTAATTGGAGGGCTGATAGACCTGCTGCAAACCACTAGCACGCGAGCGCGAGCGCGTTTAGTATTCATATTATAGTAAATTAGTGTCTGCGTTCAAGAGTAGGTTTAGTATGGCAAATTCTTGTCCTTTACATGACTTTTTCGCTGGAGAAAAAAAACTGGTCCTTTGACCAGGTGTTATCAAAACTGACGTTGAATTGAGTAGTTATTGGATTTTTACCAGGCCCGCGCATTGGGTGATATTAGGCACTTCATGGCTGAACATGTACAGCTGCATAACTTTATCTAGCCTGTTATTGAACGAGTTCATTGCATTTTGAAGCGTCAAATCGTGATGTAATGTGAAATCAAACACCTGTGACCAGGAAACCTCCCAGTGACAACATCATCTCGGGAGCCACTATCACCCGCATCTTCCGTGACCAGAAAACTTCCCCGTGACATCATCATCTCGGGGGCCACCATCACCCGCATCACCCGTGACCAGGTAACACATCACCCGCATCTCCCGTGACCAGGTAACTCCCCGTGACATCATCATCTCGGGGGCCACCATCACCCGCATCTCCCGTGACCAGGTAACCTCCCGTGACATCGTCATCTCAGGGACCACCATCCCGTTACATCATCTTCACGGGGACGACCAGGTACCTTAAGAGACACCCTGCCGTTGGATTATCTTTTTTGACGAGTTTTTCGTGTTAAGTCGTTGCTCTGAATGATCTATGGCTGTTCAAAGCGAGTTATGTTCATGTGTTTGTTGTTAGCACGGTGTAAGCACTTCAAGTTCTGATTTAATATTTCTTTGAACTTTTTAGTTATGGTCAATTTTGCTCAAATAAATATGAATTGATTCATTATTGTTGTTGCTTTTATCTGTGTTATTACAATTAAATGCATTACATCACATGTCGCTTCCTAGTCAACAACTCGGTACTCTGCCAGTACATCGAGAGCCACCTCGGCCTCAAAGACTTGCTCAAACAAAAGGAACTTGCCTCGAAAAATTCAGGGTGCTGTGTTGAGGTTTGCCTTGATGTCTTTCAATGTATTACCGAGGTGAACCACAGTCCAACAAAGTTCGACTTAAACTCTTAGCGCCTGATGTCAATTTATTACTGTAAAACCATTCAATATTATTACCTATAACTAAATAATAATTATTGAAATAGGTACAATAATTTAGGCAGACCATTCATAGACAAATTAATGTATAGTGTGCTGGAAGTTGAGTCTTGGTCTTCTATTTAGTGAAGTTGCAACTCTAACAAACGAAGTGCGTCGATGTGTGAAGCGTTTGGCTTACCTAGTGTACCATAGAGCAGAGCCTGTACCTAGCTGTGCCTTAGCTCGACGTATCTGATCATCTTGATCTGATGTAACTTGAGAAAGATCTGATAAGGCGATCAACGCTCAGTCTAATAGATTTGAATTTCTTTTAACCAATTATTAAAAAAAACACGCTTATTGACTCTGCGATATAAGTCCAGCTTACCGATGGTGGAGAGCCCAGATCATGTCGAAGTATCCAGATATTTTATGCGTTGTTAAGAAGCCTTGTTAATAGGCTCGTCATATACCAGGCTACCCCGACCTCTTCTTGATAGCCAGTTAGCGTCAATTTTATGCGGAATGATTGAAAGTAATGGAGGTCGTGAATAGCTTTATCTTTTTGTTTTGTTAGTTATAAATTGTTTCAATTGTTTAAATGAATCAAGGAAGGATGTACGGGATGCTTTTATGTAAATCATTCTGCTATATCTAAAGTATGTTTTTTATTTTAAATATTCACATTTAAGCTTTACTTGCCAGAATATTTGATCATGCAGATGTAAGCAAATCATAAAGTTGTATTATTAGTATTGCCAGCAATAAGCATGTTTCTAAAATGAAAATTAAATAAAAGATACTACAAAAGGATTAGGGATACAAAGGCTGATTAATTAAGAAAAAAAAATATCTTGAAAAAGTCGCTGTTGTACACACGCTGCCTAAATTAAGACAACACAATTAAGACAACGTAAACAATTTATGATGTGTTTATCTTTCATTGATAAACTGCATGCTTAAATCAGAACTAAAATTTACTGCACGTTTCCGGAGACAATATGTTGCACCGATTGCCAACGAGAAACATGCTGTTAGAATAAGAAGGAATAAATATGTTGCAGTGATTGCCATCAATCAACATGCTGTTGAGAAAGTTGGAATGCATATGCGATTGTAATTTACATAAAATATGATGTTGAGAACTTGAGCAATAAACAAGCGTGAGTTCTACAGGAACTTCGTAGTTTCACATATGTAATGTAGTCCGTCCATTCATATGCCTTATAAATTAAGTATTAGCGTTAGTGAATAAGTCTAGGTTACGTGTTATAAGTTACGGAAGCTCGTCTGAGAAGCAATCGTCGATCTGAGTAATATTTTCTTGTAGAGAAGTTTCTGTGTGATAAAATATTGTCTACTTATACTTGGGTTGAATTTGAATAAGTTTAAGAGAGACAGATTCTGAAGAAGTCGTCTCATGCAAGTTTATTTAAGAGATTAGGATGAAGTGAACTTCTTAAATGCTGGCTTCTTAGTGAACTTCTTAAACTAAACCTATGTAAGTATTAATTATGTAAAGAGTTCGGTGGACAGTATTTGCTGTACCAAGGATTTTTACGAATTGCCGGGTGCCAAGTTGTTCGTTAAATGACGTGTACGAGAACATCGTTAACTGAACGCGATAGAAATAGATAAGTTTTAGAGCTTAGTATTTTCTTTTGAAAATTTCTTCTTTATTGAAAATTATTGAAATAGTTTATAATATTCATTCTTTGAAACTTCCAATTGGATTTCCGTCTTGCCCTTGTGGTGCAATAAAATTTAATTATTCTATATTATTGGTTTGTGACGTTCAAAGAAATATTATCGAGTTACTATTATTGTTGAGCAGTATGCGGATTTGAAAATATAGTGTGATCGGCTACTAACACGTGCCAGCAAGGGTGGCCCAGTGGTTAAAGTTCAGAGTATCAAGACTGCAGCAGATAGGCGCGGGTTCGATCCCAGCTCTGTGCGCCAGTTTCTGGTCAGAATCGGCGAGGAGGCCGGGCAGTTAAGCACAGCAGAATTGTAGCAGTGTGTTGTTTGTTCGAGACCGCAACAAGCTGTGAATGTTCTGCGATTAAAAATCGGCGCAGGCCTACGACCTAATGAACGCTGAAGCCGCTATTATTATTAAAGAGTTTAACGCGCTGGTAGGCGCTCTTGTCAGAGATTCTCATAAGGCTATCATTTAATATTTCCTAATTAATGAAAACTAAAGGGTATATTTATTTAAAGGTCGAATTAAGTTCAATTTTATTTTTTTCATTGAATCAATTTAATGGTTCGAGGTGAGTTTAATTATTTTTATGGCTTTGAGTCACTAGGGTAAAACTTTTTGAGATTTGGCTGCTTAATTTTACTTTTGTGCCCTGTGGCACCTAAGTCAAAATTTTCATTGTTCAGATCAATTGTGGTTACATTGATTTTGGCTTGTCAATCAAGACCAAATCAATAGCTTTCGATGTTTTATCGTTATCCTCTCTATGCTCTTCCATGTAATGTTTGCAACAAGACAATCCCATTAATTATTTCTATTTAAAGTCAAAGCAATTTTTTCATATAATTGATTTGAAGACTTATAGTGTTAGAGCCGCTTTATTTTACTGAACATATTACCGATTAGAATCTAATTCAATGGAAGTAATAGTCTGAAACTTGAACCTTTGGATACGGCAGGTATATTCCAATTCTTGAGAATTGATTGATAATTAATTTATGACATCAAAGCTCTGTGTTGTGGTCTTCAGTTGAGGCAAGAAATAAACAATTGACGTTACCTCACTTGTTTAATTCGTAAATAACTATAAACCTACCACATACAAATATATTACGGGGTTAAATTTTGTGGCAATAACGGCCCACTTGTACTCGCTTAATTCATGAATCACTCATTAGATACTTTACTACACGTACATTGCAAATAGAGATAAGTTATAGTGCACACTACAGCCCCAACTACAGTGCTGTGTCTGGCACGCAGTCGCACGTATGTATGCACAGGATGCCCAGGTGAGAATATATCATTTAAGCTTGGCTTAATGATTGTGATATGGTTGGGAGGGCAGAGAGGTGACGTGGCGATGGTGTCTGTAATGCCAAAATTATTATCAGTTAGGCTATCCTTTGCGAACTATTCTGTCATACCAAAGTCTTTCAAACAACGGGGCCATGGCGGCTCAATTCCACTCCGATCACAAAATGCAAGCGACTTCAGTCAATATTTTCGTAATTTAGGCTGAGTATTCAAATTTGGTTTAAATTAAATGGTACTCAAAATACTCAAAATTTAAGATCTTCCAACGAAGACCTCCATTGTATCAAATTTATATTTTTTTATTTTTGAACATTAACGTTCGTAATGAAATTTTAGATTATCATTAATCATTTCGGGTATAATAACGAGTATTCTCCTCGTTATTATATTAGTAACAGAACTAAAAGGTTAATCCGTTCTTAACTAAGGTTAAATGGTTTACAGGAACGGCAAGTTGGCAGGATTTCTCCACAAAACTGAGAACTCCACATCTCTCTGGTTTTGACCGAATTTAACAGACAAACGAGACGATTACTTGCACAACAAACGTAAAGACCACAACAGACTGTTATCGACTGAGGCTGATATTCGGTTGAACTTTTCTTCATATCTGTATTATTTTTTTTTCAAAACATTTGCTGAGATCAGTACTATTCAAAACATTTCTACTACAGCGTTTACAGCACCGCTTCCTTTTATCAGCGTGATTACTGTTTGGTTTGAACAATACGCTCATGTCATTTCGGTTCTAAACAATTCTAAAACATCGCTCACAACACGGTTTTCTCGGCAGGACCTGAAATGCCGGCTGCTGGCGCGGTACTCCCAGCGCTGGGTCAAGTCGGTCTGCCAGAACCGCCTGCGTCTGTCCGGTGACCCAGCAGTCAACCCACCACGCTCAGCTGGTTAGTTACCACCTACAGTCCCTACAATCAGATAAATGAATGATACTTTGTTCATATGGCGATGCATTTTTTTGCCCTGTGTGGGTTATCCTGAACCAGTTCGGTCCGACAATATGTAGGGCCTATCGGTCATACGTTTACTCTCAGTTCGTGCTGTGTATATGACAGTGTCACTTAATGTTACGCTAATATCTGACACGTCTCTAGCTCCGTGGAAAAAGATGAATCGTTTTCGATTTGCAATTAGATGCAAGTACGATTACGTTAAGGTGAACGTGTTAGAGCTATGGTTCTCGACACAAGTAAAATACTCAATGAGAATTTATAAATAATATAATCAGCATAGTAGGAGAAAAGCTCAACGTTACTAAAGTATTAGTTAATCAACTAAGTATCTCAGAAAGAGAATCAAAATCATAATCATCTAATAGAGGCCAACGGGCACAAATAAAACTGATAAATTAATTAAATAAGACTCAAGAACTAAAAACTCAATACCTAAAGAGTAACTTAAAGTCTATCCTAGGAAGTCCTTAGAAATTTGGCTCTTGGTTGCCAGATCTTCGTAAGTATCCTGAGGACACAGTGCGTCGCGCGGAAGAAGAACAGTAACATTAGTCATTCTTATATTAACATAAGAAAGTAGAAATGGCCCGCAGATAAAGAATATTGGCCAGTTTGTGCATTATATTGTATGACTTTGGCTTAAAAATTATTCCTGAATGTCTTGCAGTACAAAAGAAATGTGGAGTTCATGAGTTACCAGTTTGTATTGAAGGCTTCGCTGTGGCATCGCTCTGTACAGTCAGAGGACAAATGATTGTTCTACAGTTAACTAAACCGATCAGCACATTTCTTACAACGTTACGTATCCTATCAAAATATGTATTTTAATATGGCAGTTGTGGGCATGATTGCTGCCCCGCCGCCCCTCGTGAGGACGTCACCCAGGCACTGTGCCGCCCTGCAGTGCCTCTGTCAGTTCATCGAGGAGCATCTCGAGTACAAGCCTCAGGGTCAGTGACACTTTTGAACTAAAAGATAAGTTGTGTTCTATTATTGCTCGCAGTTTTTTGCCCCTTATTTTCATACTCTTTACATGTTATTTATTTATTTAGTAGAAATTATTGTAATTTAGATATAAAATATTCGCTGCGAGCATTAGATTAACATAATAGATGATATTTTTAAATTTTCTTTTGAAGATTCGAGCTTATCACTTCGAGCTTGCCAGAGTATTTTAGTGTCTTTGCTATAGAATTACATACTTTCGCAATAAGTTTTATATGACCTATAACAATCTACCAAATGGCACATAACTATCCACGTCTACGTCAGAAAAGTAATATAACTATTTTAATGCGCTTTATGATTTCGGTGCTTCCCTTCAACTGTCCCATATCAGTTACAGCTGCTCAACGTCCATAAGATTTCAGCAGCAAATGAGAGACGAGCATAAATTTTTATGATGCAATTCATTCCTTACATTCCCAAAAACAAGGCTGATGCTCTGCAAACATAACTTCATGCAATATATTCGCTAATGACTGAAAAAGTCATGTATATTCTCAGGTAAATGTCTCTTCTGCATCGACATGGCGCAGTCAATGCACGGGGGAGTGCTTTGATTCTACCCAAAGTTGGACCATCACGACAGTTCCTGGCTGACGCTGTGCTGCTCTTCCTTGGGCCTCCTGGAGTCATTGTCGGGCCGATCGCCTTGTTTATTTATATAATAAACTAATAATAAACTATCCTTTCTATGATAAACGGTCTTCCGCGAAAGCCAGTTCTTCCAAATCGCAATATTCCAAGCACCGACTTTGTTTATTCGTAAGTGAACGAAAATTATATGAATTATTTGAATTAATTTTAGTAACTCAAGTATTATAAATTTTCAAATGATTCCGTCCGTGTGAAGTGTATTAATTTATAAGTTAATGAAGAAGTGTGGTTGAAATAGTGAATCTCAAATGTCAATAATCGACTCACCGCATCCAGCATGATCGTGTAAACAGGATCACATCCAGCTGGTAGTAAATATTTTCCAAGATTATACCCAGTATTTTTCTGCCTGAGTTTCGGTAATTTCTCATCATTTGGTTGTACTGAATCTAAGAAATGTGCGTGCAGTTTCCTTCAATTTGAAACACATGAATGACAGTTTCTTTTTTTTCTTAAATTGTTATATAGTAGGCCAATATTATAACATTTGTTATATTGTAGGCCAATACCAACCAAATCAGAAGAGTAATGTTGAGTTACAGGGCTATGTATATTTAGCGGGTATAGCACATGTTGCCTTCGTGTTTGATGCGCGGAGAATTATTTCTGTTATTGCAACTTATACGAGATTGCAATTCTTTTGCGAACAAGTGCGCTCTCAGTTCGCAAAAGTGTTCTCACGAACACTGGGACCGTCTGATGAAAGCGTTCGTCTGGTAGCTGATTGAGAACATCTCTATAAGCTGGTCGTTGAAGACTAGCACATTCAACAAGAAATTCTCAGAGGACGAACGCTCTCGCTACCTAATAAAATCTCACTTGTTCAAGACAACCGGAAAAATTTTGATAATTTTCCAAGAGAAAAATATACATTTCAAATAATTGTCGGTGTTTTTCTGTCCCTTCAATCTTTGGATAAAACTTTCAATCTTGTACCTACAAAGCAAGTTAACATCGACTAGCAGGGCTCGCATAGCGATATATTGGAGCATCCGTCGAGGCTCACGATGATGACACCTGTATTACGCTTTATCTTTATCCATTGCGGTTCATGTTGTTAGGAAGGGTGTTGAAGTAATGCGTTCAGTTGACGTAAGTTAATGTATAACTTTATGATGTCTGGATTATTGCATGGTACATATTATAATTGATTATATTATAACTTAACGAATTGATTCAACGTTACAGCAAAAAAAAGTAATAAGAGAAAAGTTGGCACTACCACGAAAAATGCAACGTATTTCACGAACAAAGAATTTCTACATTGAGTTGCAAGTGAACCGTGTCTATGGTAATGTTGCTGCTTTATGTAATTGAAGGCAGGACTTATAGAAATAATAAAATAATATGCGTTTAAAAATTACTCTCTGGAGACAACACTTCTGAAGAGGCCAGTTTCTCCGATGTTACATATGTACTATTTATTTCTTATCTTGTTTTTAAATATTAATAAACACTATTTGTAATTTGTTTTTACCATTTAAATTTTTATAATAATATTTCAAATGATTTATTTTGTCACTTGATTCATGCATTGTCTCCGACTTTACGGAAGTGTGCAAAATTTCAGATTGAGTGTACAAGTAGAGTGGGCAATCTCTACTACGAGATTGCCCACAATCTCTCTACTCACGATCTGGGCAATGATAGAGTATACATGCTTTAGCCGTTCATAAAAATGTCGATTATTCTATGAATATTTCAAAACACATTCAATAATTGAGAGTCAATAAGGAAATACCGAAGCAAATCGTAACAGAAAATGAACACGAGGTTGAAATTAACCTTTTTTGGATGATACGTCAAATTATTTGTAATACTATACTAAATCGAAAGCGGTTAATTACCTCCGCAGACGGGCCGTATCACGTTTACTTTGGTGCAGCCTATAGACCCGTAGAATTTAATTCTAGTTGAATAATCCTTTCTAACTTCCGAGCATCAGCCTCCCTTTTTCAGTCTGATGATGATACGGCTTCAGCCGCACTAGTTCTAAAAATTGGAACTGAGGGTAGATGTCTGACTGAGGGTAGATATCAGACCGAGGGTAGATATCAGACTGAGGGTGGATGTCAGACTGAGGGTAGATGTCAGACTGAGGGTAGATTTCAGACCGAGGGTAGATATCAGACTGAGGGTAGATGTCAGACTGAGGGTAGATTTAGACCGAGGGTAGATATCAGACTGAGGGTAGATGTCAGACTGAGGGTAGATGTCAGACTGAGGGTAGATGTCAGACTGAGGGTAGATGTCAGACTGAGGGTAGATGTCAGACTGAGGGTAGATGTCAGACTGAGAGTAAACGTCAGACTGAGGGTAGCTGTCAGACTGAGGGTAGATGTCAGACTGAGGGTAGATATCAGTGTGCAGAATACAAATATTTATTCTCTGTTGATTCATCACATGCGTTCTCGATACGGCTTATTTAATTTAAAATACGTTGCAGTGAATGATGAATAGAATTATTTAACTGCTAATTAACTAAAATAGTTGCGTATTATCGTACTTTTGCTACAATTAAGGAGTGCGGCTCAAGATGAAGGAAGTTTATGCATTGATTGATCACAATCTTTATTACAATTTTAATTACAACAGAAGGTTAGTAAAACATTGTTGACTTATGTTTTCCAAAATATATGCCAACAGTATTAGAAATTTTCGACAACGTTAATTATTTTAATGATATATTTTGGAAGACCACGACTGCTGTAAAGTCGTGTACGGTTACATAAAAATCTGTTTTTGACAGTATTTATTATCCGATCATTGAAATGGAGAAAATTTTTAGATATTCTTTGTAACTATTCTATATTGTAATTATTCTATTCCATACTGCTCTTTCACTTCACTTCTTGTCTGTCTGCTACAACTCTTACAATCGATATTTAACACACTTTTACTTGTCCATTCGATCTGAAATTTTGCACACTTGCGTAAAGTCAGAAACATTGAATGAATCAATTGAGAGAATAAATAATTTGAAAAAATTAAATTTTTTATTGAAAAAATAAATTTTGTTTTTATATTAAAAACTAAAATAAGAGATTCATTGTACATGTGTAACATCGGAGACATTGGCCCCTTTAGAAGTTTAGTAATTGAAAAGTACTTTTTAAACGCATATTATTATTGATCGACTAAAGTTCAGAGTGGTCTCGAATTTCACTGAAATGGACCGAAATGAAAACACAGTTTGGACTGGCAAAAGATTTTTCTTTAAAAAGTTTCCCCACATGCGATTTGCAATTTTCTGCGCTCTACAGAATCATAAAATGTACCACTGATCATTGATGGCGTGATGCAATAGCATTATTATGGCTTGATGCAATTTATGTCGATCATAATGAAATAGGGTTCAGCAACTCCTGAGAGTGATAATCAGTAATGTAATTAGCTCATGAGAAAATCTTCTTGTGCAATCATTGATTAAGTGACGAAATAAATGTAGCCTTTGTCCCCCTCGTACATTGTATAACAAAACACAAGAGTCTGTATGAGATAGACAAGCAAGCTCATGATTGATGTCGCCGTTATCTTTGCAAGGGCTCAAGACACGAGGCGCTCACGATGGCTAACTCGAGTGGCCGGGGATTGATAAGCTAACCGTCATATCGAAAATTCGGTGGGAATTTTTCCTAATTGTTGCAGGTGTATTTACCGTAAGTGAAGAATTAAGATTTCTTGTGTAAACAGCCTTTCTGTATGTCAGCAAAACTTTCATTATTTGTGTCATTACACTAATTTAGAAGAGTTAACTGCAGAGATAAAACAAAACAAAATTACATCTATAACCTGATCTATAGTGTCAATCGGCAAGAAATGAAAGGGGTGATGAAATGAAAGGCGATGTTCTCTCAGAGATAAAATTTCTCGGTTTTGTAAGATTTTTGGATGTTAATAACTTACGAGCTAGGGAACGCTCCAATGGCAAGGCAGTCATTTATTTTAAAATATTCAGTCTACTAAAACTAGGACGGCGAAATTTAGAACAGCTAACGGTGAAGAAATATTAGATGTATTCGAGGATACTGCTTCTTTATTCTAGAAGTTATGTGTTCCAATATTACCATGAGTATATTCTAAGTTTGTTACTAATCAAGGCTTTTTATATGATTAATAATTTCTTTATCAGGTTTATAACGAGTATTCAAACGGAACATTACTTTTTTTGTTTGTTTAAGTTACAAATTTAACGCTCAAAACAAAATTTTATTGTATTCTGCATTCTAATGTAATGTAAAATGTGTAATTTTAATCTAACTTCACCTCCTGTGGAATTTCAGATCTAAAAATTCAGCAGTGAAATCGATAATTTATAGCCAAATGTTTTTCTCAATTCGCTTTCCATGTGCTCCCTGCTGACATTCAAAATACTATTCTGAAATTCTATGCGAGCTCAATATTTTATGAATGAGATGAATAAATATATCATTGATTTTAGTTGTCAGTAATCTTCTCATCATCAAGGAAGGCTGTCAAGTGTACTTAAATACATCATGGTATATAAATAATGGTATATAAATACCATTTGTAAATTGAGCTTGCCAAATATCTCATAAACATGTCGATGTCATCTAGTATCTTAAGTGAAATTATCCTTAGGGGTTAATTTATTTATTCATCATTTATTCATAGATCATTCTCGAATTGTGCTCGAAGTTCTGGAATATAATTGAAGCAAAAAGGTATACAATTTTTTCAAATATTGGATTGTTATTTTATTAAACAGATATCAAAGCTTGTGCTTTTACTTGATGAATATTCATTTATTTAACAGACTATAATCATAAATTGCGAAAATTCAGTCTGTAACTGTCTAGCAAGCTCAATAAATTACATAGCTTTCAAATTGTTAATCTGCTTGTCGAAAGAGTTAAAAATGACATCAAAAATTTATTTTGAGATTTACACTAGGCTAACGCATAATGGTCACGAAAAAGTTTCTTATCCCGGCTTCAGTAGATTATATTTAGGCTTAGATCAAGCGGCACAATCCGTGAGAAAAGCTTACGTGTGCCTAAATTATTCTTAGTGTCGTAGTGTTGTGTGAGCCCAAAGCAAAGGCATATGTTTGGAGTTACACATGTGTATGAATTAATATTCCAGGTTTGGCAACTTATGCAATTGATTGTCGCAAACTATTTGAATGATATTACAATACTTCTTCTATGCTACAGAATGACTTATTAACTATTATTTATTTTGTTTTGGTGGAGATGGCCTCGGAACTTAGGGCCCAAAAAATCTAGTTTCGCAGTTTAATTCTAGTACCAGGATTGGCGCAGAGAGGCGCGGGTTCGATCCCAGCTCTGTGCGCCAGTTTCTGGTCAGAATCGGCGAGGAGGCCGGGCGGTTAAGCATAGCAGAATTGTAGCAGTGAGTTGCGAGTTCAAGACCGCAAATTGCTGTGAATGTTCTGCGATGTTAAGAATCGGCGACAGGCCTACGGCCTAATAAACGCTGAAACCACTATTATTATTATTATAAATATTTGTTGACCTATTTTTTCTTTCATAATATTATTCCATTGCATGAGTGAGGAACTCTTCGATAAAGATGACATAGCTCGAGTGCACAGATAGCAGAGCTTGTGCATGGTCCGGCCGTCGATTCACTGCAATGGTCAGTTGCTGCCTCGTGCTCTATCACTAACATCGTTGGTTGAAGCTGCAATAATAATATCAACACTTCAAAGGCACAATTTATTGAAGGTAATACAGTGGTTATTGGATATTTGGCCATAAATTGGGCTATCCTTGCCTCTCGGTACAGGTCAATAGAATTATGAATAAAAACTTAATTGGAATAAGATCATGATTAAAAACTTATACTAAAACCTAAAATAAAACTCATATTATTATTAGCTATTTTAAAATTGATTTTAAAATTTTTTGTAGATGTACAAAATTTATTTCTTAATAACACTTAAACGCTAAAATGTTCAACGAAATAACAGGGCAAGAATAATTTATTTCTTTACTTTGATATATAGGCTGCATTTCATTAGTTGGTATTACCATACTGTTACGATTTACTATGTTTATTAATTATTTACATTGTGAATCTACATAAATTTTCAAATAGATTCCTAATATATTTTGACTGCATTCAATTTGAATTTGACTCATGAATACCGCCAATATGTAGCTCCTGAATATTTTGTAATGCATTCATTCATCTCCCAGACAATAACGTTCATAAAAGTTCATGCCATATAACAACTCCAGAGTATTGTACATTTCTTCGTCATGCCTCTTCGGCAGTAATCCCACAAAATTGCAACAAAAATAAATGATAAATCTAATCTAATCTAATAACAGCAGCTCGAGTCCGCATGATGCGTTGACAACTTTGTTTAGCAAAAATATCTCTTGTTCTTACCATGGACAATGATTAATCTACATATTCATGTTGGAAAAGATGGTATACCTCATTTAATTTTACTCAAACTGTTTTATTACTTCATTGACAAGAATAAGCAAATAATTTCGCATCGTTTTCCCGCTTCGTAGCATTCAAATATCGATTTCAGGAAAAATTCTCATTCGTGGTCGAAATTAGGATAACTTCATCTCTCTCTCATACAAATATCTGCATCATAGATTTGTTGACTAAATCATGCATAATTATAGAGGCAAGACACTCAAGTTCTGAGTTTATCATGTAAGGTTCATGCAATCATTCTAGTACTGATTGCGTATCGGTCAGTTGTGCAAATAGAGCACGGCATCACGGATGAAATCGAAGATAACAAATTTCAACTGCACGCGGCTGGCGTTGGAGCTATATATATATATATATTATAAATTATTATATAAAATATATAAAATATATTTATGAATATATGATTATATGAAAGGACCTTATACCATTAATGCAGGTGCGAGCATCACGTATATCAAAACGCTGGTTATTGTTTATTGTTACCAATGAAATAACTTTGTAAAGTCATTACCTTGCAGTTTCGCTTTAAAATGAAATTTGAGTCTCTATCTATCTAGAAACTTCAACTAACACAAGTGCACTCTCATAGCAAAGATATTTCAGGCCCTCATACGAACGTTGTTTTGTCGATTAATTTGCCGCACTATTTCTACGAATGTAAAAATTCATTAACGGTTGCCCTACACTGCTTTGCTGTTCTCATTTCCGCACACGGTGCTGGAAATTTTTGTTTCATTTTTCGCTTTAATTTCATAGTCATAAAAAAAAGTTTAAGAAAAATTGAAGCTAAAAAATAAAATTTTAGACAACTATCTTTGTACGTGATAGAGAATCCCTATTCTTGATAATCGCATTTACCTCAATGCCTGATTCCTCTCGGATTACGCTTAAATACCCTGTGAATATTTATTTCACTTCCGTTCCCAGTTCTTCAAATCTGATTAGAACTAATTCCAATGATAATAATCAACTAAGATAATTGTAAACAAATTAAACTCAGTTAAAGCCCTCATTAAAATTAAACTCAGTTAAAATTAGAACTCAGTTAAAGCTCCCATTTAGAATGAATTTCTTTCTACCTAACTTTTGTTTCGAAGCTTAAATGCAACTTTTTATTTTATGGTCAATAATTTCTCTTACAAAATACAAATCAAATAAAATTTCCACCAAGAATATTTAGCCCATATACAAAATTTAATTTAAAAAATCGTAAAAAATTCGATTTTCTTCTAAATTTGCAAGTGGATTTAAAATAAAATTTTAAAAGCAGTCGGAATAATAATTTACATTTTTGAAATTGAAAAGGAAATTATATTTCTTATTTCATGTGAGCTCGAACGGATCTTTCTCATATTATTTTGATTTTAGTTCGAAAATCAGCAAATAGGTATCTGAATATGGGATTGGAAATGAAAGTTTTGGTCTAACGGAATGCCCCAAGGTTGAGAATTTTTTTCACGGGCAATGCCGGGTTAAGCTGTCCGTATTTGTGACACTAAAGAAATGTTTATCAAAGTTAAACACATTTCATACTTCGTATGACGATCCCATGTTTTCTTTTCTTTTCAAATTTACATGTATTCAATATTGTAATTACTTTAAAATATATTATTGACTATTGAGCAGCATCGATTGGAAAAGCGCAGGCAGCATCAAGTTCATGATGATGTGGCATACCACGCTGGGCTCTATTCTGCTGCTGGCAGCCACATGTATTATGGCTGGAAGAGCTGGTGAGTGATGGGTACCTAGCATGCTGCTGCTGAGCACGTCGGTAGTGAGAACTGGAATGCTTTCTGTTATGCAACTGGCGGTGTAAATTGTACGTTTTCAGGCTGCATGCATGGCTCTGAGGCTGGTGTAGATGATGTAGAGGTACTGTTAATGCGGCTGCTATGTATTCAAATTATACAATGATCATAGTGCAGGCACTAGAGATGAGTAGTGCGGTGTGTCTTACTTCACGTGCTGCTGTTGCTTGGGGGGTTGTTTACCATATATTACACTATCTTACAATATTGAGCTAGTTTAAAGTCAGAAGAATGGTGATTTGCATCTGCTGCGGCTAAGGAATTTTGGTGGAGATTGATTATGTCGGGTGACAATGTTGATATCATTCGTCCCTGGATATTTCCTGATTGATGTTTTCCTTGTTGAAAGATAATCTCCTTCACTGCGATATGTTCATAAGCATTTCCTTGTATTTGCCTTCCTTGTTTATTAAGTCACGCCCTTGGTGACGTCAAATAGCGAAGCTATATAAGCTCTGTCTCAAGCGATTAACTTCAGTCTTGGGCGAGGACCGCTGTCGGTATACCCCATTGCTCCTGTCCATGTCAAACAGCACAGTAACGCTAACTCAACGTCTGAGTGGAGAACGCCCCACGGATATACTCTAGACTTATTCATTTCAACTGGACGCCGAAGACATCAATGTTAAAACTCCAACATATGAACTTAGATTATCATAAACTGTAAGTCGAACTATAATCCTAAAAGTATATTATATAATCGTTTACGCTGTTCCTCTATAATATCCTCGGATCCCACTACAACCGAACCACCCTCAGGCCATACTTAATTACGATTCAATATCGCTTCGTCCACTACCAAATCTCAACATCGTACAATTATTTGGTTGTGTGTTGCCTTACATTATTCATCATGCTGCTGCGGTATAGACTGTTACTGGTACGGTGCATTTGCGCTGTTGCAGAATTTGAGTGAAGATAATGAGTGTTGTCGTGTGTTCAGTGCTGTTGCTGCAGCCGATGGTGAGTGGTGTGACAGGTACAGTGATGTTGCAGCATTACCTTGTGAGTGGTGTTGTTCCTTTAAGCAAGTGGCGTTGACGTTACAGATGCGATACCTCGAGTGATGATTTATATTATTCACAGCTGTGCATCTTATTTATTGAGTAATAACGCTCTACTGTTTATTATTATGGCCTGAAATAACACTGCAGCGTTCGGTACGTTCAATTCTTTTACACTATCCATTGGAATTAATGCTTGTGTTGCCCGATGTTCTTAGTTACGTGGAAACTCTTCAAATAAGACTTTTATGTTACGTCATTGAGTATCTTAGAAGTTGGGTTTTTGAAAATTAGAATAGGTTACACCATTCACGAAAATAAAAATATCAATTTATGTCTCAATGAAAAGTAAAATCTTATTCAAATCTAGTATCAAGTTTAATAGTGTGTTGAAAATTAATAGTGAAATCATTTACCCTGATGCTCTGAATTTGAAAGTGTAACTCATAATGTCTTACACAGACACCGTTATTGACTTCGACATCACGAAGATGGATTGGACATACGATGCAACGCCCAAAACTACGTTAAAAGTGTGTAGAGAGAATGATATTGATGGCGGAGCAAGCGTCGATCTTGTGGTATCATCACCACCACCGGTGGGGCAAAAACGTAAGTAGCCTTTGCATTCATTCTTATTTCCAGTGCAGGAATTGGGATTATGCGATTAAGAAGTTACTATGGGGGCGTTCAGATCGTCCAAAAATAAGGTTAGATTTCAGAAGAATGCTTGAAACCAACTGAAATACTTATCGAAACATATATAAGTGATGGTAAAATAATGAATGAACACTTATCTTTGGTATTCATTGTCTTGCCCTAATTATTGAATACGGAAATAATATACATCGCGTAAATTACTGATCATGGAAGACCGTCAATCTTACTGTCTTACAATTGACAAAGAACTTTACTTAAATGACTATTCTGTCAATGCCTTCAATTGATATTATACACATATTAAGCTGCATTGCAGTTAACTTAAAAATAACAGTCATCAACACCACATGTAAAGCAGACAGAAATGGTGGCTAATAACGGAATTTCAAAAATCGTGGGATATTGGTGAATATAAGAGCGTTGCATAATCAGCGACCCAAATCTGGTTACAAATTCCAGCTTCACAAATATTCATCTGTTCTAACTAACTTTCAACAGTGTCGTGAAATTCAGGTTTTCAGTCTGCAGTGTATAGCACTCGAACACTCAAAGGATAATAAGAATATAAACACACACAAAAAATCGACTTAGCATAACCATTATTAGGTCAAGTCAAGACTTGATTGATTTATTTGATATTTACGCTAAGGTTGCGTTCATACCCAGGCTGCTTGTTGTTCCTGCAGAATACCCTGGTACGCCGGACGACACTGAAACAAACTGTGCAATATTTACCTGGGATGAAGATTTTCTGCCTTCCAAGACTGAAAGAAAATATGAGCTCATTGTTGACGCGAATGCCGGCACGATAGAGAGAGGAACAGTAACTTATTCGATGACCTGTAAGTTATTGAAATTAGAGACACCTAATATCCACTGCGAGAAATTAAACTTTTCTTGATTGAAGAGGAGCTTATTTTTTATACTTTTTCATTCATGCATATACTAAATAGTAATTTTACTAACAGTAAACATCAACTTTTGCTCATATTTCAAAGAACTCAGTAACTTACTTAATTAATTCCTTAATTTCAAGTCATCTTTATATTTTCACTTTATTACAATAATTTCAGACACTGTATTTCATCTCGGCTGCTATGAAACTGATTTCGTGCGACTCAGTTTGGAAACTTGGCTACTGACGGTTGCCACCTGCCCCGACTCAAGCCCTTCAGACGAGACGTCGCCACACTCCATTTGTTATGTGAAAAAAGAGGAAGCAGACAAAACAGTCACGATGTGTGCAGATCAAGTGGGCAATAGTCCAGCCATTACTGTCTGCTTGACACTACCGATACCGGAGCCTGTTGCTACCTCAACAAGTATGTTCATTCATAATCTTGTTGACAAATGAACAAAAATTTTATAATACATAGAAAGCGGCTTGAAAAACGGATACTTATCGCAGCCAAAGTGATGCTCAGATCAATGAAAGACGGTAAGTACTTATAGCTACATACATGTATGTTTAAGATAAAAAGAAGTTAATTTTGGTATTAAATGCCATATTAATTGAATCAACGCCAAAGCTGGCGAGAACTAATACGGCATTTAATGTAACCTAACTATTTAATGTAGCAATTAAGTAATTATTTTGCTGTCTCCTTGCGGTAATTAATGTGTCCACATTAACGATCAGAAATAGAAGGTAAAATTGATAGACAAAATTAATAACCTGTTTTGAATGAATTGATTGTATTTTCCTATTATTAATCATATCTCGTCACCCTCGGCACGAGCAAAACACAGCAGTAACGGTGGAATCATCTTCCCCGATCTGCTGAACCTTACATATTTCGGCAGTGTCCTTTTATATAATTGTGATGTATGGTAAAGTGAGTCTTCAGGTAACGGATGTCAGGATGTCGGAACGTACGTTTACTTTCCACTCATACGCTACCAAATAACCGACCTTAACTCATGAATATAACATTCACAACTTCAACAACGAAAAGATTATTCTTCATGGAAGAAATTCGCTATCATCAGAAATCGATGGTAACTCATCTAATTTTGAATCAACAATCAGTAAAGCAGTTACTCATGTATTCAAATTTAATGCTTGCATTGCCTCTTTTCATTCGCTACTGTCATTGATGGACAGTCAGTATCGTTCAACAGTGGCTTCAAAAATGACAGAACCATTCAATAATGGCTTCAATAATGACTAAAATGGAAGTTCCATTTCTACAGTATGAAAGACTCTAATTATATCCATAGCAACATTTCTATGTTAGTGTGTGTATGTACCGTTAGAATTAATGCTGAGATTCATCGTTTCTCTACGCTGGCTTGCAGTTGAAGTGAAATAATTAAATTACTCCAATATACGTATGAGAAAATTTTGCTTTGATGTGGCATTATATGTACAGCTTGCTATTTGTTATGTTTTCTTCTGCTTATCTCTCGTACCTACTCCTACTATTTTTTGATTATCTAAGTCATGGCTTTAGCCCAGAGTCTAACATTTTGAGTTTCGCATTAATCCTTCACTGTAATTAGTCTACTCTAAACTATGAAACTATTCCCGTTCCACTCCTGCTTCCCCATGCGTACACTCTTCAACATCCAGAATACCTTGCTAGTGACCATTTCACGATACGTAACTAGAAAGTTTACAAGGGTCTGAAACTATACTGCCTACCTTGGCTGTACTATTATTACTTTCGAAATTCCCGCGGAAAGAAGTGACCACTCACTGGCCTTTGGGGCAATTTCAGAATTCAATCCTTTCATGTTAATTTTATTTTTTCGAAAATAACCGTATTTTGTCGAAAGTCCAACTAGCTTCTGTAGGAAACCTGATTATGCAATGGAATGAGGTAAACATTAACGGAAAACGAGTAAATATGTAACTTACAGGTTAGCTTTGCATCCTTACTGTTCCGTGTCAAAATTGCGGAACGGCGCTGATGACAACCGATCTAGTGTAAATTTAAAACCTCACCCCGAAACGCCTATTGACTGTAGAATTCTAATTATTTCGTTGAATTCTTTCACCAATCGAATTCTAAACCCTCATTTCTACAAATCGATCCTGCTGTCGTGATGGATTAAAAATTAGAACCCAGAGCGCACGAACACTAGCAAACAATTCAGAGCTTGTGCAAACTACGACCCAAGTTGAGAATTTTTCCACAGTCAGAACTATCAAAAGCTCAATTGCGGTTTTTGAGTATAATAGTTTGATAATGGAATTGAGATGAGAGTTGACCACCAGTCAGCCCTTTAAATAAGCCCGCCACCGGCACCCGTTTATTAAAAAAATCGCTTCTCCTTATAAGAAATCTAAACATTTTCGATTAAAAAGATATTCACTGCGATAACATAAATCCAATTAAAAAATGGGCCTACATCCTAAAAACAGGAGCAGAAGCACAGACACTCGCTATAATTAATATATATTTTTTATGTTGTTTTCCTTTCCTTTTTCCTAGAGTCCGCTAGGACTCTACTTTCGACATTTTAATCAATTCTAAGGCTCCAAGCGCTCGCCACATATCTCTTTACACTTTCAAACAGAGCCACATTTGTTACTTAGACAAATCCACGATAGTTCAAAATCTACTGCTATTTGTTCTCTAGCACCCCAATCCATTACTCTGCCTTCCCTCCTCTAATAGAATCACGTACCTGGCTCTCACACGCCTTACATTCCACCATGAGGAAACTCAAGTCTGTTTCTCACCCCAATTGCACATGAAACATCCTCTCCTCTCGTTCCCTTTGTACGTACGTACGTTTACATATAGCGACCCCTGCTATGTGTGGCACATCGTTCTTCGTTACATGTCGTTACTTTTAAGCTCGGTATCATGCCGAGTTATTATTCCTAAAATTGTTGTAAGATGAGCAGGCGGTCGAGCTTGAAATATGAAACTTTCCGCTTCGTTGATAGTGATCGAGGGCAGAGCTGGGCAGCGCTACTTGGAAATGTAGCGGCGCTACCGCTACCGCTACATGCTCTAAATGTAGCGGGCGCTACCGCTACCGCTACACCCACTAGATTGTAACGGGCGCTACCGCTACAGCGTGCTGGTACCTTGAATGCAAATAATTGGCAATGGGAAAGCTTGGGCTACAATATCAAGACTTTTTGGGCATATTCTTCTGTTTTCAATGAATCTTACTTTATTTGGCTCCCCTGAACAATTTAAAAATCAAAAAAACGCCATCTTAAAAAAATTATAACTCCAACAGGTTTCAAGCTACGGCAATGAGAGACATACCATTCGGTTTGTAAAAACAATACCTAGCGACTCTAGAAGCCTTTTTTAATATGTGCATGGTTTGACTTATATATGGGAGAAGGAGGAAGGTGGGGGGGAAAAATGTGAAAAAATGGGAAGAACGTGAAAAAAAACGACGAGGAAAATAAAAAATCGGGGCTCTACAGTCGCTAGATATTGTTGTTACAAATCGAATGAAATGTGTCTCGACATTGTAGCATGTGATTTGCAAAAGTTATAAACTTTTTAGAGTACCCCTTTTGTGCCGTTTTCTATTAATTCCATGTTTTCTTTCAATTTTTTTTTAAATTTACATGAACAAAAAGGTCTTAGATTTCTGTTTTACATATGTGTACCAAGTTTCAAAACGATCCGTCTGTAAACAAAAAAGTTTTGTTGGAGGGTAGCCGGTCCCCTTAAGTAAAATCTAAAGGCTTTATCTATAAATGTAGCGGTAGCGCTGTAGCGGCAAAACCTCGTATCGCTACTTAAATATGTAGCGGGCGCTACAGCTACCGCTACATTGCCTTAAATGTAGAGCCGCTACCGCTACCGCTACTGAAAATGTAGCGCGCTACTGCCACCTCTGATCGAGTGCAATTGAAGAAGTGCGCGACTTCGGACAAGAAAGGACGCTTCGTCGAAGTTCTCGCCATCATGACTATGACGGCAGGAAACTCTTAATTTTGTAGGTAACGCGCCTTGAACATGCTTATCGGCTGCATTATAATGGGAAATCTGCTCGGGGAGCCGCTGATTTCGTGATAAATTTTCAGATGAAAATATATACACTTTTCTTCGGCAGTATCTTCGTATCTATATGGAGCGGGGTTTCAATCTGAACCATGGTCATTGGGAAATGGAAAAGACTGAAATTTTCGTCTCAACTGAGAATGAAGAATGCTAAAATGCATTATTCTGTAAATTATCAGCCAAGTGAACTTTATCTCTCGTTTGATGGTTCCATTATGCTGGTTTACATTGCGAATTTTAGTCCCAGCACCCCAAAAGATCACCTAATAAAGATTAGTCTCTCATGCGGGAGAGTTCTGTTCTAACCGTTGAGGCAAGAGGTTCCTTGTGCTGAGCTCCGGTGACAGTAGCCGGCTTCGGCCGGCTGCTACGTCATCTTTCTAGATTCTGGAACTATCTTTCTCGAACTTTGAAAATGCCGTGCTGTCCCGCTCCGAGGCGTTGAGCCGGCGGATGCCATGGTACGACCAGCTAAAGTGAAGTTTACCTGGAGTGGGGCTATCTGCCCTGGAGTGGGGCTATCTGCCCTGGAGTGGGGCTTTCTGCCCTGGAGTGGGGCTTTCTGCCCTGGAGTGGTGCTCTCCACCCCCGGTGTGGTCTCCACTTTGTTGGCCCCGTTCTGTAGCCCTTCAGCCATTAAGAAATCTTGATTTTTTTCAAGACGCCCAATTTTGAACATGAAAACATAATTCTGTTAAGTTCCTTGAACTGGTATGCATAACAGTTCAAGGAACTTAACTGATTGCCGCATTGAACCAGTCTTCAGAGGCTCCCATAAATTCCAATTAAGGAAAAGGTATCTCATGCAATAATATATACTCAGCACTCATAAGACCATTGTAAACTGCTTAGTGTGAACCTCTTATGGTAAGGCCCACAGGCAGAAGCCAGAGGGTAAATATAAAGGCAACGCAGCGCTCCCCGCTACAAGACGCACGTCTTGCCAGGACCTCGTGCGTGCACCTGTAGTCAGGCAGCCGCATGCACCTAAGACCTCAGTGTGATTGGGGCAGCCAGTTAGGCGCTTATTTCGGGTATCTTTCGACTATTATATTTTTTAGTCCAAGAAAACACAAAAATGACTTTAATAACAGCCCCTTTCACACAGGGCGGCAAATACCGCCAGCGTCAAAAAAACACGGAGGTATTCACCGCTGTGTTATCGTTCACACGAGGCGGTTTTTAATGCTAGAATCTATCAGACTTGCAGTGCTGTTTTATGCACACCAGTCTATCTTCAAGCAACAATATTTATGTTTATGCAACAATATATCTTTATGTGAAAATAATGGAAACAAATTATATAGGTTTATGGAAATATATCGTTAATTTATCACTTT